CCCACCCACCCACGCCCGCCTCTGGCCCAGCCCTCGGTCAGTCCCTACCCCGAGGCGGTGGAGCTGCAACGCCGGAGTCTGCCCATCTTCCAGGCGCGAGGACAACTGCTGGCCCAGCTCCGAAACCTGGACAGCGCCGTCCTCATCGGTGAGTAGCTGCGCCCGCGGCCCCTTTCTCCTGGTACCTGGTTTTGCAAGAGCAGTTTTTGTTAGGCGCCTCTCCCCGTTTTCATTCGTATATTCAACAAACCTGAACGTCTCGGTGCCAAGGCTGGAGAGGGGCCTCCGAGCGGAGTCTTACTGCCCTTTCCTGAAGGCCCTGACAGCCAGTGCGAGTGACGATGTGCGTAGACAAAGACGCACCTCCCTTGTGAAAGGGTGAAGGGGTGAACTGCAGGCTTGGGGAGCCTAGAAGAGTGGCTTTTACCCAGTCTGAGGAAGAGAGGGTACTCTACGCAGAGATGAGAGCCTGTCTGAGAGACTAGAAACAACTGTCGAACGGGAAGTAATTTCAGGTGCCTGAAAACGGACAGAGTTGTGGGGCAGGAATTGATTTCTGGGAGCTTTGAGCCTCAACTTTTTTTTTTTTTGAGAAGTTTTCGCTATAGGGCGCGTGTGCTCGCCAGACAGAGAGAGACAGAGAGACAGAAAGCGAGAAATCACTCCCCAGGGGAGATGGTCATGCCACAATCCCTTCTCCATTCTCCTCTCGGGATCTTGGGCACACACGCACACGCGCCCGAGCCTCAACTTTTAAGAGAAGCTTCTGAAAAACAAAGAGGATGAACCACCAAAGAGAGGAAGGAGACCCAGGAATGTTGGCAGTCAAAGGAATAGAGAGCTGTAGGAAAGGAGTGAGCAGGTGCAACAATGAGGCCCACCAATATGTGGGCCCTCCTCCCCCAAAATGCACAGTGCATTTGGATTTGAGGTGGTGTTGGTGGATCCCATTGAGAGCTATTCCAACAGACCTGTGGGAGTAAGAGATGATTTCTCATTGGACTGACGAGAAAGTAGGAGGTGAGAGAATGAAGGCAGGCTTCTGTATTGAGAAGGGGGGTTCTGAGAGGAACTTAAAAGTGTTCATAAGTTGAAGGGAAAGACTCAGGGAAGAGGGAGGCTGAGCATGAAAAAGAGCCGCTAGTCAGGAAGTCTGAGGAATGGGGCATTTGGCTAGATGAAGAGCCGATCTGGGAAAGGAGGAAGGATAAGAAGCTTTGGGGTGGCCAGCTGAGGCAGTGTAGTCTCCCTCATGCAAGTGCATGCGCCCTATTACAGTTTTTAAAGTTTTGCTATAATGTGCATGCACTCAGAGAGAGAGAGAGAGAGAGAGAAAATGAGAAAGCACCCCTCTGGGGGTAATTGCTGCACCACAATCCCTTCTCTATTCTCCTCTCAGGATTTTGGGCATGTATATACACATGCCTGGCATGTGTTTCAAGCCACCAGATTTGGGACTTGAACCATGCAATCAACCATGTAGGATCCAGTCTCTTTAACCACTGTGCTACCAGCTAGCCCATCTATGACAAATAAAACAGAAAGAGAGAGAATCTATGGAGCTGGAGAAGAGCTTGAAGGGGAGGTAGAAAAAAGAAAGAATAATAACCTTACTGAGAAGACTTTTTCTTAAGAGAAGTGCAGGAACTCTGCTGAGAATGGGCATCACAGTAGCCCCTTGGGAAGGATGGAAACAGGAGACAGGCTGCAAAAACAAGAAATATATTGATGGTAATCTTTGGCTCCACTACAAACTCAAGTCTTGGTCTTTGTCTTTTCAGTAAGGTTATTTTTCTTTCTTTTTTCTTGGAGAGGTTTTTTGCTATAGGGCATGTGCGCTCACCAGAAAGACAGAGACAGAGAGTCAAAAAGTGAGAAATCACTCCCCCAAGGGGGATGGTCATGCCGCAATTCCTTCTCCTTCATTCTCCTCTTGGGATCTTGGGCACGCATGCATACACGCCTGGCGTGAGTTTAAGCCACCGAGTCCAAGACTCGAACCGCAGTCAACTACATGGGAGTCCAGCGACATAGTCATTACGCCAACTGCTGGTCCCAAGTAAGGTTATTTTTCTTTAGGAATATTCAGTTGCTCTAGTGCAGGAGCCTAAAAAAATGGATACAAAGACATTGATCTAAGTTTGGGATTTTGCCTGGTGGATCCAGCAGAAAGATTGCAAAGTAATCAAATTCTCAGTTTATGATTTTTGTCTGAGTCAGGAAGGGTGATCAGCCAGAGGGGGCTGATGAGTAGGGAGAAAATGCAGGAATAATGGGACTGTGGGGTCTGTGAGGTTAGAGAGACAAACCAGCTGCCAAGGAGAAGGATGCACAGACTGACTGAGTTCATTGTCCTAGTTAGGTCCTGTTAAAAGAACTAAGATGGGAACCAGCAGTTAGCGTAATGGTTATGTCGCTGGACTCCCACGTAGTCGACCGCGGGTCGTGTCCCGGACCCGGTGGCTTAAAACTCACACCGGGCACGTGTGCGTGCATGCCCAAGATCCCGAGAGGAGAATGGAGGAGAAGGGATTGCGGCGTGACCATCTCCCCCGGGGGGTGATTTCTCGCTTTCTGTCTCTATGTCTCTCTCTGTCTGTCTGGCGAGCGCACGCGCCCTACAGTGAAAATCTCTCCAAAAAAAAAAAAAGAACTAAGAGAGTAGAAAATAACACTTATTGAGTGCCTACTATATACAGGATGCTCAACTATATGGGAGAGGATTTTCTCTACCCTGCAGGAACTTCCAGCAATAGGAGAGAAGGATTTTCTCTACCCTGCAGGAACTTCCAGCGTTGGAAGAGGACAAAAACATTTAATACTTCAGTGCAATGTAAGGTAGTCAGTGCTAGAAGAGAGTTGAACAAGGCACTGAGGGACCCAGAGGAGGGCCACCTGTGCAGCCTCGGGACGAGAGTTTGAGACCTAACTTAGCCTGTAGTGTGCCAGGCAGTCAGCCTGAGGGCAAGTATTCCGTAATAGTGTGGGCAAAGGCAAAGGGTGTGAAAGGAAGTGTCAGGCTGGGGAGTGGCGAGGAGCTTGTGTGAGCGTACATCTCTTCATATAGTACATACATAAGTCTATGAAACAGTTTATTTCATGTTAACTATGTCCTTTACCTGAATGTGTATATTGTTTCCAGATTTTGCTATCATGAGCAAAGTTGAGTAAAACATCTTCGAAGTTCTATCTTTAGACACATCTTTATTTCCTTAGAATCAATTCCCCTAAGTGGAATTGTGGTGTCAAAGGACATAAACAGTTTAAAGATTTCAAAAATATAACTGGTCCTACCCTAAAATGATACCAATTAACAATCAATAATATATACAAGTGTCCATTCTGATGCCTTACCAACCCAGAGTGTTTTCTGTCTTTTCCTTCTGACCTTGAGCTATTCAATGAAATTCGTGTCAGTGTGCATGTAAATGAGATTTTAATTTTTTGTTCCTAGGGGAAACCGGCTCCGGGAAGACAACTCAGATCCCTCAGTACCTCTATGAAGGGGGAATTGGCCGCCAGGGAATCATTGCTGTGACTCAGCCTCGTCGAGTGGCTGCCATCTCTCTTGCTACTAGAGTCTCAGATGAGAAAAGAACTGAACTGGGGAAGCTGGTACCTAATTTCCTTCTCCACTAAACAGTTCTCCCACTGCACCCCTTCCATTAATTTTTCTGGAAAAACTTGCACAGTGAGCTTCTTTCTTGCCACAGTTCTTTAGACCTACCTCAGAGGTTTGTTTGTGTTTTTGTTTTGTTTTGTTGCCAGTTCCTGAGAGATCAGAGGCTCTGACAGATTATCAGTCCCATTTGCTTTGCTTTCAAAATCTACTAACAAGTTAGATAAATTACTAGTTTTCCTTGAACTTAATGATGGAGGGGTCTGTGGTGATCATACCCAACACTTACTGCAGATTCTTATCTGACTCTCACAAAGAATTAAAAACATGGACAAATGGAGAGGCTAATAAGCAAAGTTTATTAGAAAAGAGTAAAAGCGAAGTGGGAGGGGGACCCAGAATGGGTCATCCCCTAGGGGTAGGAGTGGCCTGACTATATATGCTCTGACAAAAAGGAAAAAAAAAACTATATGAAAACTATTCTTTTTTTTAATAGACCATAGATTAGTTTATTTTTAACACCCATCATGCCATGAATTCATAGGGAATAGGTTCTAGTAGCTCAGGCTCCTTTCCATTGGTTCTCACAGAGTGTGCTTCTCTGGGTGGAGCAGGCTGGTGCTTCAGTTGAACCCAGGTACCTTTCTCTTTGGCTTTCTTCTTTTTCTGGTCATTTTCCTTCACGTCTTCGGAAGCTATCTCTGCTCTTAGAATGCTTAATATGCTCAATACGCACATTGATTCTCTTGGCAAGAATCTTGCCCTTAACTTGTTTGTTTACAACAATGCCAACAGCATGCTGGGTAACATTGTAGACTCTTCCAGTTTTGCCATGGTAGCATTTATGGAGCATCCCTTTTTGAATAGTACCCATTCCCTTAATATCTACAATATCACCTTTCTTGTAGATTCGCATATATATTGCCAAAGGGACAACTCCATGTTTTCTAAAAGACCTAGAGAACATATATCGGGTGCCTCAGTGTTTGTCATTTTGGTAAATTACTGGAAGATGGTGGTTTTGGCCAAAAGGAAGATGAAAACTATTTTTTGTCCAAGGAGATAGCAGGACAAGAAACTTTCTTTTTTTAAAAGATAATTATTATTTATTTAATTTTATTTATTCATTCATTTATTTTTAAATTTGACCAGAGAGACAGAGAGAGAGAGAAAGTGAGAAAGCAAGCCACCAGGTCCAGGACTCGAACCATGGTTGGCCACGTGGAAGTGTCCAGCACCTTAACTACCATGCCACCTGCTGGTCCCCAAGGAACTTTAAGAGATACCAATGCAGGCATGTTGTGCTGCTGGGGAATTTTGAGTTATCAGGGTCCTTGAGTTGTACAGTTTGCTCAGGACTATATAGTTAGTCTATTTCTAGCCTAGTCAGCAGATGGTCCTAAATTTTAGAAACATGAAAGAAGAGTATATTTTTCAAGATCCTTTCTTCTCCTATTCTTCGGACCAAGAGAGATTACACTCTGGTTTATAATGCAGTAATGATATGAAAAGTATTGGGTGTACCTTTCATTACTTAAGCAGCCTGCAAGCAGCTTTCTGTGTAAGCCAGTAGCGAGAGCTAATCATTGATTTTTGGTGAGAGCAGCAAATGATTTCTATTAAAAGCCTGACTATAGTGACTCCATCTTGTCTCATAGTCTCCATTCCGTGGACTCCTTACCTAGCCAGAGATCTCACTCCTGTCTCATTATTTAAGGCTTCAATGACTTCCATTGAATCTCTTATCTGTATATCTTTCTGGAAAAATTCTACCATATATGCGGGTATTAAGAATGAGTCTCAGAACTGTACGTAAGCCAGATTTATTTGTGTTTGGTGTGTATGTATGCACTCATTTTACTTAAAAACATCTTGGACTTTGAGGCAGCTCCATAGCTTGGTGGTTAAGGGAAGCCTGATAGCACATTGCCGACCACAGTTTGAATCTTAGCCCCAAGCAGCCTGAAAAATATGCTGGGCCCAAGCGTGTATACCCAAAATCCCTACCGGATGGAGAAATAGAGGAGAAGGGACTGTGCTGTAGTCATCCTCCACAGAGGGGATACTTTTTCCCTCTCCCACCCTCTGTCTATCTGGTGAGCACATATGTCTTCTGGCACCTAATTTAAAAAAAAAGTTCTCGGGCTTATTTTCACTTCTGCACCTGGCTTCGCATGAAACTGTTAAATAGCCTGAGATAGGAAATTAGCTCTAAATTCTTCTAATGTCTATCATAATTACAGTTAAAGGCATGTGTCCATTGTCTCTGAGCAGGCCAGGGTCAGTGTTGGTCTCCTCACTAAAAGCACAAGCACCTAGCATGGTGCTGGATACACAGTAGGTACTCAACAAATGTTTGATGAATGAATGAGTCCTTTCTTCACACAGGTTGGCTATACAGTGCGCTTTGATGATGTCACCTCAGAAAACACCAGGATCAAGTTCCTAACAGATGGCATGCTTCTGCGTGAAGCAATTTCAGACTCGCTGCTCCGGAAATACAGCTGTGTCATTTTGGATGAAGCCCATGAACGGACCATCCACACAGATGTGCTCTTTGGAGTGGTGAAAGCTGCACAGAAGAAGCGAAAGGAACTGGGGAAACTGCCTCTCAAAGTATGTATAACCCATGTAAGGAAATAGGCCTATGCTTCTTCCTCAGGGTATTTTTGCACATTTTTTTCAGAATCATCAGAGAAAGGGAACCATTGGGCCATACAGTGGTGCAGCAGTTATGTAACTAGACCTAGACAGGAAGGTCCCAAGTTCACAACTTAGAGCCTCTCTGTGCACACACAGCAGTGGTGCACACGCGTGCCTATGATCCAGCACTAGCTGAGAGTGGGGATGGATTATGTGAAAACCCTGTTAGTGGTGCCTGTCTTTCTCTCTGAAAAAATAAGTAAACTTTGAAAAAAATAAATAAGAGAGCCAGCCCTGTGGCCCGATGTTAAGGAACCCAGGTCCCACATGGCCAACCATACAGTTCAAGTCCCAGCCCCTGTCAGCTTGAAAATCACACCAGGCTTACATGCCCAGAGTCCTGACAGGATGGAGAAATGGAGAAGGAATTGTGGCATGCCCATGCTCCATTGGAGTTTGCTCTCTCTCTCTCTGTCTCTCTGGCAAGCACATGTACCCACTGAAAAATAAATAAATAAAAATTAAGCACGTGAACTATTGAAGCAGACCTCAGTCACCAGCCTTCAAGGCGTGGGAGGTGCACAGAAAAGTTGTCCCAGTGTTTGCTTCCCATTCTCTTCCTTCTCTCATGCAGGTGATTGTGATGTCAGCTACAATGGATGTGGACCTGTTCTCTCAGTATTTCAATGGAGCCCCTGTCCTGTACCTGGAGGGCCGGCAGCATCCAATCCAGATTTTTTACACCAAACAGCCTCAGAATGATTACCTGCACGCAGCACTTGTCTCAGTCTTTCAGATCCACCAGGTATGATATCGGGGCACATCCCTGAAAGATTCTGTTGTTTCTTGCAGTTAGTAATGAGAGCATTCAACCTTGAAAAGACAGCTGCTAAATTAAACAGCCTAGTGAGCTGTGTCATTAACGTGCAGATGGAGTACAAATGCCATGTCCAGGGCTTTTTTGTGGTATCTCTTATTTTACCTGAAAAGAAAAATAATTCACCTCAGCTCATCATCTTTCCTCTGCTGAGCCAGAAGACTTCCATATGTGAGAGCAGTGGTTTTCAAATTTTTTTGCTCATAAGCCTTGATATTAGGATCCAGTACACAATATGTATAACTGAAATAAATCTAGGAAACACTGTCTCTTTTACTACAAGGGATGTACTCTGTATTTTCCACCTCATTAAAAAAAAAAAAGAATTGGGGCACCAGCAGTTAGCGTAACGGTATGTCACTAGACTCCCACGTAATCGACCGCGGTTCGAGTCCCGGACCTGGTGGCTTAAACTCACACCAGCCGCGTGTGCGTGCATGCCCAGGATCCCGAGAGGAGAATGGAGGAGAAGGGATTGCGGCGTGACCATCCCCCCTGGGGGGTGATTTCTCGCTTTCTATCTCTCTGTCTCTCACTGTCTGTCTGGTGAGTGCACGCACCCTATAGCAAAAACCTCTCCAAAAAAAGAAAAAAAAGAGAAAAAGATAATAAATTAACCTTAGTTTACTGTAACTTTTATAAACTTTATTTTTTTTTAACTTTTTGACTCATAACATTTGGCTTAAAATACATAGTGTACAGCTGTACAAAAATATTTTCTTTTTTTATATCCTTATTCTGTAAGCTTTTATTTATGTATTTATTTATTTATTTTTACTTTTTAAATTTTTTGTTAAAAACTAAGACACAGGAACCAGCAGATGTCACTGGACTCCCACATAGTCACCGTGGTTCACGTCAGATCCAGTGACTTAAGACTTACACTAGGCATGTGTGCATGTGTACCCAAAATCCCAAGAGGTGACAGGAGGACAAGGGATTGTGGCATGGCCATTCCTCCTGAGGGGTGATTTCTTGCTTTCTATCTCTCTTGTGAGCACGCACACCCTATAGCAAAAATCTCTCTCAAAAAAAAAAAAAAAAAGAAGAAGACAAAAACTAAGACAGAATGGTCCAGCATGTGGCATTGTATTTAAGGTGCTGGACTCCCACATGGCAGAACGTGGTTCAAATCTCAGACCCAGCGGCATGAAAATCATGTTGGGCATGTGTGCCCACAATCCTGAGGGGAGAATGGAAAAGGGATTACAGTGTAGCCATCACTCTTGGGAAGTGAGTTCTCACTTTCCCTCGTCTCTCTCCAGCAAACACCCACATCCTGTGGGAAAAAACCTAAAAAAAATTTAAAAACTAAGACACAAATGCCCACTAGCCTAGGCTCAATAGGGTCAGGATCATCAATATTCCTTATCCCACATCATAAGATTAAATCAAACACAAGAGAAGGTGATACAATTAAGAGATGTGATAAGCACAAAATATTTGAGGCTGTGTTTTACAGTAAGATTCTTTATAAGTAGAGGGAGTATATACTAAAATAATGATAAAAGGTGTAGTATAGTACTACATAAACCAGTAACATAGTAGTTTTTTATCATTATCAAGTATTGTGTTCTGTCCAGTTGTATGTATGCTTCCCTACAACTGGCAATGAAGTAGGTTTGTTTGTATCAGCAGCATCACAAACACAAAGTGAAAGGAATTTTTTGGCACTATTAGAATCATATGCGATCATTGTCATATATGTGGTCTTTCCTCAACCAAAATGTCTTTATGAGGATCATGATTATAATTAATATGAAAAAAAACACCAATAGCTTTCATTACCCCATCTTAGATTCCCACTTGTTAGGGTAACCACTTTTAGTTCCTTAGCTGTTTCTTTAGATGTTACATTTCTATCTCTGAAATACTCTGTATTGCTATTTCTTGATTTATCCATATTGGCCATTAAATGCTAATTTCTTACCATGGTAGATGAGAATTTAAAAATACCCGTCTCTTGGGGACCAGCAGTTAGCGTAATGGCTATGTCACTGGACTCCCACGTAGTCGACAGCAGTTCGAGTCCCGGCATGGTGGCTTGCACTCATGCCGGGCACGTGTGTATACGTGCCCAAAGGACGATAAAGGAAAAGGGATTGTGGCATGGCCATCCCTCCTCGGGGGTGATTTCTTGCTTTCTGTCTCTCTGTCTCTCTGGCGAGCGCACACGCCCTGTAACAAAAACCTCTCCAAAAAAAAAATTATATACCCCTGTCCCATCCCTGCCTCTGTCAACACAATTATGATGTTTTCTAAACCCATTATCAGTATAATATTTACAATATTATGACCATATGTGGCTATCAGTACATCGTCCCAGTGCCTTGTTTCTTGAACAATACAATTGTGCAAGTTTTCTACATTGCTTTGACTAATTTCTCCCCCAAACATTCTAACATCTCTCATATGCCATTTGTGATTTATTCTGTGTTCAAACATAACCTGTTTTTCCTGAAGTTCTTTATGATGCTGTGCAGTCCAAACAGATGACTCCCCAAAGCCTCTGTGTAGCTGTCTTCTTGACTCTCCTGGGTAGAGAAAGGGACCTGGGTGTGTGTAAGGGAGCCTAGTAATGCATGTACAACAGTGGTCCCATAAAGAGCATACAGCCTATACCAAATAGCTTAAGCATGTAGTAGACTATACCATCTAGGTTTGTGTAAGTTCACTCTGATGTTCACATGACAAAATTACCTAAAGATACAAATTTTAGAAAGTATCTCTGTTGTTAAATGACAGGTGACTGTATAGACACATGCCAGGACTTGCTTGGCAGAATGTGTTTTTCTGAGGGGGGTGGGCTGTGGATTATAAATAAATATAAAAATAGGGAACCAGCAGTTAGCGTAATGGCTATGTCGCTGGACTCCCACGTAGTCGACCGCGGTTCGTGTCCCGGACCCGGTGGCTTAAATCTCACGCCGGGCGTGTGTGCGTGCGTGCCCAAGATCCCGAGAGGAGAATGGAGGAGAAGGGATTGCGGCGTGACCATCCCCCCTGGGGGGGTGATTTCTCGCTTTCTGTCTCTATGTCTCTCTCTGTCTGTCTGGCGAGCGCACGCGCCCTATAGCGAAAACCTCTCCAAAAAAAAAAATATATATATATATAAAAATAAACACAAACACACAAAGACATACAAGTTTAGAAAGGCAAGGATCGGGTGGGCCCAACTTCTCTGATGGAAACAGCCATGACCCCGAACAGTTCCAGGTTTATTCTTTTAAAAGGCAGAAAATGAGGGAAGAGGAAATGGAATACAAAGCCAGTTGTTTTAGGATATTAATTGACTGAAGAGTGAAGACAACTGGCACCATGTAATTTCTCTGATCTTTTGGGGCAAATCCTGATAAGCACATGTGGCTTTAACCTGATACTGCTCTGCAGTTTCAAGTAACTGGTGTATTCGCATGCAGAGTGCTTTAATCGCCATGCAAATGACAGCTCACGTTTCTGCATGTATTCAGAGGTCACCACGTTTGCTCAGATTAGCCACTCTCCACAGACACACACATATAATTACATACATACTTATAATTATTAGATATTTTTTCAGTTATTGTGCCTCAAATACTTTACAAATTAATATATATGTGCAAACATCAAAGAAAGATCAGGTAAATGGCTAAGTCAACTTGAATATTGTTTTCTTTAAAGGTGAAAAATCCAGTTAACTGCAATGTTTCAAGCATTTGTCCAAGTATATTGCATTTCGGGGACATATGAAGGTGCTCTTGATGGCATCATTTAATAAGAACTTTTCCAATATGACTGCTTCTGCTAATTCCCATAGATTAGATTTTCGCAAGCTTTCTTCTCTTTTATCAGCTTCATTTTTGAATGCACTTATTAAATGGAAGGACATTTTATGCAGATTTTATTTACTTGCCTGATTGTGCTTTTCATGGTATTGTTCTTATTACAAAAGCAAGCTGGTGATATTCCTCAACATTTCCTTAATTGGTTTTCAGGCATAACTGGCCAAGAATGTTACAGTTTAACTCATTGCTGCTAAGGATTTTCTCCCAGTGTTTGGGCTTATTTGCTCATTTATCTCTTTTGGGGGGGCTTGGGGGTAGATTTGTGCTATACAGTGCATCCACTCACTGGAGAGAGTGAGAGAGAGAGAGAAAGAGAGACAGAAAGCAAGATGTCATCCCCTTCCCCCCAGGGAAATGGCTATGCCTCAATTCCTTCTCCTTCACTCTCTTGCGATTTTAGTCATGCATGCACATGAGCCCAGCATAAGTTTCAAGCCTCCAGGTCCAGGACTCAAACTGTGGTTGGCCGTGGGAGAGTTCAGCGATGTAACTATTACGCCATCTGCTGGTGCCTCATTTATCTCTCTTTTAAAAATTATTTTATTCAACTTTATTCATTTATTTTAATTTGAGCAGTGAGGGACAGAGTGAGAGAGAAAGTGAGAAAGCAAGCCACCAGGACCAGGACTCAAACCATGGTTAGCCATATGGGAGTCCAGCACCCTCAACTATGCCTGCCACCTGCTGACTCCCCTCATTTATCTCTTTATAGTTCAGAAAAATAACTGGGAAATATCATTACTGATCTGTATTTTTCCTACCTTTTTAATAGGAAGCCCCTTCTTCTCAGGACATCCTGGTGTTCCTCACTGGTCAAGAGGAAATCGAAGCCATGAGCAAGACCTGCCGAGACATTGCAAAGCATCTCCCAGATGGCTGTCCTGCAATGCTGGTCCTTCCTTTATACGCCTCCTTGCCCTATGCTCAGCAGCTCCGCGTCTTTCAGGGGGCCCCAAAGGTGAGTGTTCCACCTGTTCTGTTCGGCCCCGTATCTGGGCACTCAGATGGATTCAGTGGGGCCTGTGCTCCTGTTACCAGGCTCCAGAGAAGGTGTGTGGAATGGGATGTTTGGTGCCAGTCCAACTGGTTGAGAAGGCAGAGGAATGTAATGCTCAGCTTACTGAGAGCTGAGCACTTAAACGGCACGTCTGGGATAAGAACCAAGAAACAGTCATCAGGGGAGAGGGAGAGTGCAAAGGCAAAGGCCAAAAGGTAAATGAATGACTCTTCTAAGGGACCAGCATCAGTTGTATTTGTCCATAGACTGGTTACCGCATGCCTCTGCTGTACCAGGCACTTAATCCACCACCTTAATCCTCACGAGAACCAGCAAGGTATGTCAGGAGTCCACAGACATAGGAGCCCCAGGAATGGAAGTGACTGTTCCTCAAGGGATTTACAGTAAGGAGTTGGCAGGGCCAGATTCCAACCCACATCCACTTGCTTCAGAATCCTATGCTTGTTCCACTACATTTCATCACCTCAAATTACCATTTAGGACTCCGACTTCTCCTTCCCCTGCCAGATTTAATGACCGACCATTAATATTGATTTAATGACTGCCATTAATAATGAAATCACGTTCTCTTGGTTCTGAGTAAATTGTGGAAATTAATGGTGAGAATATGTTTTTAAATTTCTGAATCATACATTTGTCATATGGCTCTTTGGTTTTCTTCCTCCTTTTAGGGCTATCGCAAAGTGATCATTTCAACCAACATCGCTGAAACCTCCATAACCATTACAGGAATAAAATATGTAGTTGACACGGGCATGGTTAAAGCAAAGAAGTATAACCCTGGTGAGAATTTGTAGCTCGTGAATGTCTCTCCTGTGTAGAGTGAGCACTGTTGAAATCATAGTCCTACAATTCTCCTTGAGACAGCACTTACATTATAACCAATTGAGGTTTGGGAAGGGGAGGCAGGTACCGCAAATAAGATAATCCAGAAGTCAAGTCCAGAAGGGAGACCCGAGGCAAGTATGTGAGACAAGTTGAGGCAGAAAAGAGGAGCCCAGGGTTAGCAAACTCGGGATCTGGGCAGGGGGTCTGAAACTCCATCAGAAGGTGGGTGAGAATGATGCCTCTAAGACCAGGGGCAGGCTGATGCCCATCAGAGGGTTTCCTCAGAAGTGATATTTGGGTATGGCCAGTTTGAACTCCCAGCTTTCCCTGGAAGGAAACAGATGCCCCAGGCTTCAGCCTCCATCCCTTACCCCTTCCTGACTTGGTCCAAAGAATGTACTAGTGAGAGGCTTGCTTGCAGTCATTTTTACTTATGTCTGTTTCATACCTTGTTTTATTCCACAGAGGACTTGAGGCAGCTGAAATTACTGTTCCCAAATAGTTAAATGAAATGTTCTAGTAAGCACTCAAGGATGCTACCCTTAGGTCTCCAGGGCCTGGGACAGAATATACCTTTATCAAGAAAATTAGTCTTGGGGCCAGCAGATAGCATAGCAGTTATGTCGCTGGACTCCCATGTGACCAACCATGGTTTGAGTCCTGGAACCAGTGGCTTCAAACTCACATAGGGCGCATGTGTGTGCATACTCAAAATCCCAGTAGAGAAGGGACTGGGGCATGTCCATCCTCTTGGGGGATTCTTACTTTCCCTTTCATTGTTTCTCTCTGACAAATGCATGTGCCCTCTTTAAAAAAAAAAAAATATGTCTCATTTACTCCCAGGAAACATAAAGGTCTCACTATCTCTGTTTTGGAATAGACTGTGAGGGAGGGTAAAGTACGCAAGGGACTTGGGACATTTCTGAGTCATAGATTTATATGATGACCAACCATCCTGGTTTACTCAAAACTCGGTTTTAGCATCAGAAGTCCTACGTTTCAGGAAATCCTCAGTCCCAGGCAAACTGGAGTGGTTGGCCATCCTGTCATGTAAACCTCAACCTCTGAAATCACTCTGCTGGCCCCTCACTGCAAGCATGAGGTTTTCTGATGATTCTGTAAGAGATTTCATATGGGCTCATTGCCAGGCTCTTTTTCACTATGGGCCACACTTCTTCAGAGCAACTTGACTTCGTACTTCTAATTTAGCCTTGAGTTTTTCTGGACCCCTGGATTGCAGAAAGAATCACTCGTGTTCTGAGGAATGCTTCTTTATCAACGCTGTAGAAACACTGTGATGATTGAAGCTCTAATGGGGCCCATTTCCTCTCCAGACACTGGTCTTGAGGTGTTAGCTGTGCAGAGGGTGTCAAAGACCCAGGCCTGGCAACGCACCGGGAGGGCTGGCAGGGAGGACAGTGGCATCTGCTACCGGCTCTACACTGAGGAGGAGTTTGAGAAGTTTGACAAGATGACTGTGCCAGAGATCCAAAGGTAGGCTGGAGTTATTCCTGTCCATCTGCTGTTTGTCCAGCTTCTCTCTTTCCGGCTCACCCTTGTTTCCCTGGAGCTGTCACCTCACTGAGACTCCTCAGTGAGCAGCTCTGACTCACTGGGACACTGAACACCCCTCGACTCTCACTCCTCACAGGTGTAATCTGGCGAGTGTGATGCTGCAGCTGCTGGCGATGAAGGTCCCAAATGTGCTCACTTTTGACTTCATGTCCAAACCGTCCCCAGGTGAGTGCAGTCAGCAGTGTAGGGGAAGGTGGCTAAGTAGACAAATAACCAATGGACTCTCCAACAAAAAAGCATTTTGGTTTTCTTCTGTTCAGTGTGATTTGGTAGAGAACAGCATTATGAAAATACCAGATTCCATGCTCTTAGTCCCATCATTTAAGGACTCAAAATTGAGGTCTGTAGGATACTACAGAAATCTAATGGAATCGCACTTTTATCATCAAAAGGACTGCAAAGACCAAGCCGCTTTGCTTTTAACTGGGATTTGATCAGTCCCTACCTTTTTATTGGTAATCTCTTCATGAGGAAGAAAAAATTGGATTTTTAACTATGGTAGCTTTGGCACTTGGCATCTACTCAATACACCATTTTCCTTTCCTTGCCTTTTTTTTTTTTTTTTTTTTTTTTTTTTTTTTTTTTTTTTAGGGGTCGGAAGGGGAGGCAGGTACCGCAAATAAGATAATCCAGAAGTCAAGTCCAGAAGGGAGACCCGAGGCAAGTATGTGAGACAAGTTGAGGCAGAAAAGAGGAGCCCAGGGTTAGCAAACTCGGGATCTGGGCAGGGGGTCTGAAACTCCATCAGAAGGTGGGTGAGAATGATGCCTCTAAGACCAGGGGCAGGCTGATGCCCATCAGAGGGTTTCCTCAGAAGTGATATTTGGGTATGGCCAGTTTGAACTCCCAGCTTTCCCTGGAAGGAAACAGATGCCCCAGGCTTCAGCCTCCATCCCTTACCCCTTCCTGACTTGCTCCAAAGAATGTACTAGTGAGAGGCTTGCTTGCAGTCATTTTTACTTATGTCTGTTTCATACCTTGTTTTATTCCACAGAGGACTTGAGGCAGCTGAAATTACTGTTCCCAAATAGTTAAATGAAATGTTCTAGTAAGCACTCAAGGATGCTACCCTTAGGTCTCCAGGGCCTGGGACAGAATATACCTTTATCAAGAAAATTAGTCTTGGGGCCAGCAGATAGCATAGCAGTTATGTCGCTGGACTCCCATGTGACCAACCATGGTTTGAGTCCTGGAACCAGTGGCTTCAAACTCACATAGGGCGCATGTGTGTGCATACCCAAAATCCCAGTAGAGAAGGGACTGGGGCATGTCCATCCTCTTGGGGGATTCTTACTTTCCCTTTCATTGTTTCTCTCTGACAAATGCATGTGCCCTCTTTAAAAAAAAAAAAATATGTCTCATTTACTCCCAGGAAACATAAAGGTCTCACTATCTCTGTTTTGGAATAGACTGTGAGGGAGGGTAAAGTACGCAAGGGACTTGGGACATTTCTGAGTCATAGATTTATATGATGACCAACCATCCTGGTTTACTCAAAACTCGGTTTTAGCATCAGAAGTCCTACGTTTCAGGAAATCCTCAGTCCCAGGCAAACTGGAGTGGTTGGCCATCCTGTCATGTAAACCTCAACCTCTGAAATCACTCTGCTGGCCCCTCACTGCAAGCATGAGGTTTTCTGATGATTCTGTAAGAGATTTCATATGGGCTCATTGCCAGGCTCTTTTTCACTATGGGCCACACTTCTTCAGAGCAACTTGACTTCGTACTTCTAATTTAGCCTTGAGTTTTTCTGGACCCCTGGATTGCAGAAAGAATCACTCGTGTTCTGAGGAATGCTTCTTTATCAACGCTGTAGAAACACTGTGATGATTGAAGCTCTAATGGGGCCCATTTCCTCTCCAGACACTGGTCTTGAGGTGTTAGCTGTGCAGAGGGTGTCAAAGACCCAGGCCTGGCAACGCACCGGGAGGGCTGGCAGGGAGGACAGTGGCATCTGCTACCGGCTCTACACTGAGGAGGAGTTTGAGAAGTTTGACAAGATGACTGTGCCAGAGATCCAAAGGTAGGCTGGAGTTATTCCTGTCCATCTGCTGTTTGTCCAGCTTCTCTCTTTCCGGCTCACCCTTGTTTCCCTGGAGCTGTCACCTCACTGAGACTCCTCAGTGAGCAGCTCTGACTCACTGGGACACTGAACACCCCTCGACTCTCACTCCTCACAGGTGTAATCTGGCGAGTGTGATGCTGCAGCTGCTGGCGATGAAGGTCCCAAATGTGCTCACTTTTGACTTCATGTCCAAACCGTCCCCAGGTGAGTGCAGTCAGCAGTGTAGGGGAAGGTGGCTAAGTAGACAAATAACCAATGGACTCTCCAACAAAAAAGCATTTTGGTTTTCTTCTGTTCAGTGTGATTTGGTAGAGAACAGCATTATGAAAATACCAGATTCCATGCTCTTAGTCCCATCATTTAAGGACTCAAAATTGAGGTCTGTAGGATACTACAGAAATCTAATGGAATCGCACTTTTATCATCAAAAGGACTGCAAAGACCAAGCCGCTTTGCTTTTAACTGGGATTTGATCAGTCCCTACCTTTTTATTGGTAATCTCTTCATGAGGAAGAAAAAATTGGATTTTTAACTATGGTAGCTTTGGCACTTGGCATCTACTCAATACACCATTTTCCTTTCCTTGCCTTTTTTTTTTTTTTTTTTTTTTTTAATTGTTAGAGGGCCAATGTACTTGCCAGAGAAAGAAAGCACCACCTTCCCCCCATGGAGAGTGTTCATACCACAGTCCTTTTTCCTCCATTTCTCCATCATAGCAGGATTTGGGGCACAAACATACGGTTTTCAAGTCGCCGAGCTGGGATTCGAATCATGGTTGGCCATAAGGGATCCAGCTCCTTATTCACAGGGTTTAAATGATGTACTACTGGGCCAGCCCTCTTTTTTTTTTTTTTTCCAAGTGAAGAAATGTAAATCGTAAAGAAAATAGAAAAAAATTAAAAGGAAAACACAGATAGCAACATACACAGCACATTGCTCTATGCCTTTATTTTTCTTTTCTTTGTTAAATCCCTATAAACAGAACTGACACATATCAGGCATATGTAGTATTAAACCACCACCTGAGAACCCATTGCCAGTGCCACTGAAGCCCCAGGCCTTCTCCCCCTTCCCAGCCACCCTTGCCTCCTCTCCATTCCCTCAGGGTCACCATTTTCATATTTTGTTGGCAGTTCTCTTGCTTTTTCTTCAGTGTTTTATTACGTATTCTGAAATCCTCTGTTTCAGTGTGCATGTTCATGGGTGTATTTTTCTGTTACCTGTTTTCATTCATATTTCCTTAGATTCATTTGTATTTGTGCACTTTCATCACTCAGTGCTATTTTGTTCTGTGAATAAACCAGAATGCATGTATCCATTCTTCTATTGATAGACATTTGCACATTGCTTTTTATTAATTTAATACTTTTTTAAAATTTATAGAGGTTTTTGCTATAGGGCACGTATGCTCACCAGAAAGACAGAGAGAGACAGAAAGTGAGAAATCAGCCACCAGGGGAATGGCCACACCACAATCCCTTCTCTTCCATTCTCCCCTCGGGATCTTAAACACACATGCACACGCGCCTGGCCTGAATTTAAGCCACCGGGTCCAGGACTTGAACCACAGTTGGCTACATGGGAATCCGGCCACATAGCCATTCTGCCAACCGCTGTTCCCCTCATTTACTACATTATTTAACAGATTGTTTCCTGTTAATAAGAATATGCTTACTCTACCCTTAGAGATGTTTTTTTACTATGTAATTGGCAATGCGTTTACATGGTTCGAAGTTCAAGAAGTATGAAAGAGTAAATAGTATGTGGTGACCCTTTTACTTCTTGTCTACTGGGTTCGCCGGTGGCCTGAAGCATTTGATATTCCCACAGTGTCGTGTGTGCTTCTGGAGAGCTGTGTCTCTGTTTATCTGGGGTGGGGGGAACTTGTAAGTGTACTATTGCTGGGTCCAAAGGTATGTGTGTCCAAAATACACAAATGTATTGCCAAATTACAGGCTCTCATTCAAAAAAGGGATTAGGGGGACCAGAAAGTAGCGTGGTAGTTAAAGGCGCTGATTCCCACACGGCTAACTGCAGTTCAAGTCCCAGACCTGGTGGCTTGCTTTCTTGCTTTCCCTTTGTCTTTCTCTCTCTGTCTCTCTCTGGTCAAATTAAAAAAATAATAATCACAAATGGGATTAAATAAATAATTCTTTTTAAAATAGGGAATTGAGGCCAGCCAATGACCTGGGGTTAAAGGCGACTGGATCTCACATGGCCAACTATGCAGTTTTGGTTCCAGACTGATGACTTGAAAAACACGCCAGGTGTGTGTGTGTGCCCAAAATCTCAAAAGGAGAGACAAATAGGCAAGAAGGGATTGTAGCATGACCATCCTACCAGAGGGTGGTTTCTCACTTCTCTCCAGCAAGTGCATAGACCCTCTGGCAAAATTAAAATCTAAATGAAAATGAAAAAGGGAGTTGAATTGATGACAGTGATGAAAAACTGATCAAGGGGGCAGTCATGGTTGTGAGCTTGCTGTTGTCAGGAGCTCCCAGAAGACTAACATAGCTGCAGCTGCTGCTTTTTTGAATTGTTGGCTCCTTTTTATATCTGTGTCTTCAGATCACATCCAGGCAGCCATTGCCCAGCTGGACCTGTTGGGTGCTCTTGAACACAAGGATGACCAGCCCACTCTGACTCCGATTGGAAGGAAGATGGCAGCCTTTCCTTTGGAGCCCAAATTTGCCAAAGTAAATGATATTCTTCTTAGTCCCCCCATCTCCAACCTCAGGTTCTGTTTCATTTGTGTGTTTCCTTTAGGAGAGAAAGGGAGGGAGAGAGAGAGAAAAAAAGAAGAGCGAGAAGAAAAGGAAAAGCGACATAGATAGGTATTTTTGACAGGGTCTTGCCATGTGCAGATCTTCCTGCCCCAATGAACTAGGATTGCAGGTGCACCGTCATCTCTGGCGTGTGCATCTCTGAGCCCAGTGCCTCTAGACTCTCGTTTTTCTCCTAAATAATTATCAACCTCTACTTTGTATCTAGCACCGATTTATGTTCTGTAGGGGACTTGAAGACATAAGTCATGAGCCCTACCCTCAAGGAATTTGGAATCCTGTGGGGAAGGCAGGCATTCATTTTAAAAAGTAAAATAACTTGAACATATGTAGTTGTGATTTTAGAGACATCTGTGCCTTTAACTCCTTGGAAAACAAGCAGCAAAAGCAATATACAGGGGCTGGCAGGTGGCATGGTGACGAAGGGCACTGGACTCCCACATGGCTGACCACAGTTCAAGTCCCGGACCTGTTGGCTTGCTTTCTTACTTTCCCTCTCCCTCTTCTACTCTCACTCCATCCCTTTGTGAAATAAAGTCAAATGAAATAATTCTTGAAAAGAATAAAATAAAAAAGCAGGATACAGAAATACTGTGTTTAGAAGCTAGGAAGAAAACTTGGTTTACACGATTTTTAATTTTTGTTTGCAGACTATCCTCCTGTCCCCAAAATTCCACTGTACAGAGGAGATACTGACCATTGTTTCCCTGCTGTCTGTGGACAGTGTTCTCTACAACCCTCCTTCACGGCGAGATGAAGTGCAGGGAGTCCGGAAGAAGTTCATATCCAGCGAGGGGGATCACATCACTCTGCTCAATATCTACCGGACCTTCAAAAACATTGGCGGAAATAAGGTGAATTTTGTCTTGTTCCTTTCTCCAGTGATGACTCCCTCTTTCTGGCATACATTTGAAGTGCATCTTCCCTTTTTGGCTGAGTCTTTTAAGTAGCCATGAGTGGAAAAAGCTAACTACTTTTTCTCTCTTCTCGCAACACAAATCACTTCTGTGATCCCAGAATGGGTGAGGATTTCTCCCCACCAGCAAACAAGCAATGAGTTCTGCAGCAGACCCCAGTGGGGCATCCTGTAATCTAAATCAGTTCCGATGCTATCTACTTGGAGACAGCATGAGATCCCACAGGTTGAGGGCTCAGTTCCAGAAGACTGCCTCCTATATCAGTGGCCAGTCCCAAGGCCAGGCCTCTGGAACTTCTGACCAACCAGCTGCAAGTTTAGATTCCCATGACTTCCTTTTTGGGTTTGGTTAATTTGCTAAAGCATCTGACACAATTCAGAGAAAACATGTTTAGGGCTTTATCATCAAGGACAATATGTATCCTTTCATGCACCCCTCACGTTTCCACAGGGCTGTGCCCCTTATAGGCAACCCTCTAGTAGACTGGGTTTTCATTGCCCTTTTGCTGGACAGTGTGATCAGGCCTGTGGCCACTGTCTATGAGTCAGTAAAAACCTAAACAGGGGATTTTACCCCTGTTTACTTTCAATGTTGCTAGGAAAGCAACATGCAAAACAGCCCACCCAGCTGAATTGTTTTTACTGCCTTTGATTAGAGAAGCATCCGCCGAGAGACCGGCAGGTGGCATGGTAGTTAAGGGCACTGGACTCGCACATGGAACACAGTTCAAGTCCTGGCCCTGACGACTTGCTTTCTCTCTCTCTCTCTCTCTCTCTCTCTCTCTCTCTCTCTCTCTCTCTCTCTCTCTCTCTCTCTCTCTCTCTCTCTCTCTCTCTCTCTCTCTCTCTCTCTCTCTCTCTCTCTCTCTCTCTCTCTCTCTCTCTCTCTCTCTCTCTCTCTCTCTCTCTCTCTCTCTCTCTCTCTCTCTCTCTCTCTCTCTCTCTCTCTCTCTCTCTCTCTCTCTCTCTCTCTCTCTCTCTCTCTCTCTCTCTCTCTCTCTCTCTCTCTCTCTCTCTCTCTCTCTCTCTCTCTCTCTCTCTCTCTCTCTCTCTCTCTCTCTCTCTCTCTCTCTCTCTCTCTCTCTCTCTCTCTCTCTCTCTCTCTCTCTCTCTCTCTCTCTCTCTCTCTCTCTCTCTCTCTCTCTCTCTCTCTCTCTCTCTCTCTCTCTCTCTCTCTCTCTCTCTCTCTCTCTCTCTCTCTCTCTCTCTCTCTCTCTCTCTCTCTCTCTCTCTCTCTCTCTCTCTCTCTCTCTCCCCCACTCCCAGTCAAATTTTTTAAAAAGTAAATACATAAAGTTAAGTAAATAAAATAATTATTTTTAAAAAAAGGAGGCATCCCCCAAATAGGATGTTATTGGCTTACCTTGAAACTGCCACCCACAGCTCCAGCAGCTCTCGATTAGTCAGTTGAGGGCTGTTCATGGGGACTGTAGAATCAAGCAGCTCCTCACTGCCCCAGAGTTGGGGAAAGAGCTCGTGAGTCTTTCTTTCTTGCCTTCTCTAGGTGGCCTGATCCTGTGTACCCATTTCCTTTTTTGTAGGGAGCTCTCCTGGGCACTGCCCTACCCAGAGTGTTTCTCTGACACCACCCAAGACGTCACAGTTATTTCAGGGTTCAAGATTATGTATGTTCAGGACCAGCAGATGGCGTAATGTTTACGTCTCTGGATTCCCACCTAGTCGACTGCTATTCAAGTCCCAGACCTGGCAGCTTAAAACTCATGCAGGCATGTGTGCGTGTGTGGGCAAGATCCCGAGAGGAGAACGGAGGAAAAGGGATTGCAGCATGGCCATCCATCCCCCTGGGGGGTGATGTCTCCATTTCTATTTCTCTGTCTCTCCAACGAGCACATGTGCTCTATAGCAAAAATCTCTCTAAAAATAAAAAGATAATGTATATCTTTCATCACCAAGGCATTCTCAATATCCCACAGCTAATTAGTAAATATCCCTCAGTGGGAATTCTCCATTCTAAAGTTGCAGTAGTCATTGCTGGGAGGTGCTCACAGGCTTTTGCCATAAATTCCAATAGATGCTTCACCAAGGACTATAGAATGGGGAGTGTGTCTGGACCGGACACCAGCTTCCACTCTTCGCTCTGTGGGTTTGGGCAGTTTTAACGGGTTCTTATTGGGCATGTTCAATTACTGTTCTGGAAGGGCAGATTTACATGCCTTCTGTTAATAGTGCTGGTTAGGGAAAACATTCCCCTGTCAGTACACCTCTGTAACACAATCAGATAAAAGAGATGCAACAACTCCACATGAGATGTACACAGATACACCAACTCTCCTGTAAACCATTATCTTAACTCCATCAATGCTCACTTTCCTAACTGTAACCTCCATTGGTACTTTACCAACAGGTTTTGGTTTGACAACACTGGATAGACAGAGACAGAGAGAAAGAGAGAAAGTACCCTCCAGGGGGATGGCCATGCCCCAATCTCTTCTCCTCCATACTCTACTTGGGATTTTGGGCACACACGCCTAGTGTGTTTTTCAAGCCACCAGGTCAGGGACTCAATCAGTGCAGTTAGCCATGTGGGATCCAGTCACCATAACCTCCATGGCACCTGCTGGCCCTCTAAAGATATTTTTCTATATTCATTTTGGCACCTGAAATTTTCCTTCTGAACTCAACTAAGTTCTAAAAAATTTGTTATATTTTTTTCTGTGGAAATAGAAGGATCGTGATATCTTTTTCTCCTTTTCAGGATTGGTGCAAAGAGAATTTTGTTAACAGCAAGAACATGATGCTAGTAGCTGAAGTCAGAGCACAGCTGCGGGACATCTGCTTAAAGGTATAGTCTCTTCCTGGGGTTCTCTAGAAGACGAGGCTGCCACTGTAGTCTAATGAAGTTTCTTGTTTGTTTTTGAGAGAAAGCACTTGGGAGGAGGAGGGAATGAGAGACAGACAGGTCCTCTTGACAGGATCTTACCACAATTTGTGACCTCAACCTCACATAGCAGCACCCTAACTTCCATGGCTGTGCCATTGGTAAAATGTTTAAATTGCTGTTGTCGATGATTATAAAAGGAATTCTCATTGTAGAAAAATTTTTAAATAAGAAAGAAGTAAAACATATCCACAAGTCCATCTCACTATTTTGGTCTATTTCCTAATAGCTGTGTTTTTTTGTTGCACTTTTTAAAATAGTTACATCATTTATATAATTATATTTGATATCATAAACTTTATAAGTATTTTCCAATGTTATTAGAATTCCTCCTATGGGGACCAGCAGTTAGCGTAATGGCTATGTCGCTGGACTCCCATGTAGTCGACCGCAGTTCGAGTCCCAGACCAGGTGGCTTAAACTCACGCCGGACGCGTGTGTGTGCGTGCCCAAGATCCCAAGAGGAGAATGGAGGAGAAGGGATTGTGGCGTGGCCATCCCCCCTGGGGGGTGATTTCTCGCTTTCTGTCTCTCTGTCTCTCTCTGTCTGTCTGGCGAGCGCACGCGCCCTATAGCAAAAACCTCTCAAAAAAAAAGAAAAAAAGAATGAGGAAGCGAGCCACCAGGTCCGGAATTTGAACCGTGATCAAACATGTGGGAGTCCAGCGCCTTTAACCACCACACCACCTGGGCCAGCCCCACATCACGACTTTTCTTACAACCTAATTATTGCAGAAAGTTACATCCCCCATAATCTAGCCTCTCCAGAGACAACTACTGTGGACAGTTTGGGGTAGATCCTTCTAGAACGTGTTTCTGTGTGTGTATGTCAGTCTGTTCTCCTTCTGCTTTGCCTTCTTCTCCTGCCCATGCTGATCCCTATAGCAGTAGTGGACACCACCCCCCCTCCCCCGAATGTCAAAGTCTGCATTGTTAGGCCTGCATCGTGAGCTCGCTGCTCCCCTCACTGTGGTGCCTGCAGTACTCGTATTCAGGGTCTCCTTCATTCCTCACCAACAGATGTCAATGCCAATCATGTCATCCCGAGGAGACATGGAGAGCGTCCGCCGCTGCCTGGCCCACAGCCTCTTCATGAGCACTGCTGAGCTTCAGCCAGATGGTACCTATGCCACCACGGACACCCACCAACCAGTGGCCATCCACCCCTCATCTGTCCTCTTCCTCTGCCTTTTGTGTACACTGAGCTGCTCTACACCAACAAGTGCTACATGCGAGACCTCTGCGTGGTGGATGCCGAGTGGCTGTACGAGGCTGCCCCCGAGTACTTCAGGAGGAAGCTCAGAACGGCCAGAAGCTGAGCCACCTCAGGAGGCCGCCAGCATCACTTCTGCCTGGGAGCCTGGACCTGGCTGTGTTTGCAGCACTTCCAGGTTGGCGCCAGAGAAGTGGCGAGTTTAATGCAGGCTACATGCGAGACCTCTGCGTGGTGGATGCCGAGTGGCTGTACGAGGCTGCCCCCGAGTACTTCAGGAGGAAGCTCAGAACGGCCAGAAGCTGAGCCACCTCAGGAGGCCGCCAGCATCACTTCTGCCTGGGAGCCTGGACCTGGCTGTGTTTGCAGCACTTCCAGGTTGGCGCCAGAGAAGTGGCGAGTTTAATGCAGCTGAAAGTACTTGACTTCTAGGAGTTTCAAAGCGTCTTTGCTTAAACTCCACAGACTGAACCGTGTAAACATGTACATTTATACCTGGGAAACTTCAAAATTGTGCATTTTGGTTCTACCTGGGTGACTTAGTTAACTTCTGAGCCTCAGTTTCCTCATCTGCAAAATGGAGGTAATGGTTATACCTCTAGGACTGGAGTCATGAAGTTTAGAAAAGGTGAGAAATACTCAGAGCTCCGCCTTATGCGTAATAGACATAAGATGACTCGTGAACCATTTTATGTAATGTTAATGCTTTCTACATGATGCAAATTAAGCACCATAGGATCCCCTGAGTTTTTGTGGCTGAGGGGGATTTTCCAGAAGGGGGCCATAGAAGTTTGCAGATATTGTCTTCGAATATTGTCTTTGGTTCTATTTAATGTCTGTGTAATGTCTCTCTTTATGAAGCTTTATAAACTAGAAAACGTAAGAAGCTGACTTCTGTAGAAGTTTTGGAAGCGAGGTGCTGATGTCTCTTAAATCCTGGGATGGCCATCCCTACTGAACTGTCATGTCTCAGGGCGTAGACTGCTCTGTGTCTCCAAGCAGAGACCACAGAGACCACAGAAGGCATCTCTCAGTCCTCGGTGCCACTGTGGTGCACATCCCTGTCTGCTTTCGGGAGACACGTAAGTTTCCTGGGCGAAGGTTGATTTGTACCTTCTAAATCGTGTCAGGTGTAGACATGGGAAACTGACCTTTAAATGTAATGACCTTCCATATAACCTGTTGTCATTTTTCTCTAACTGGGAGCCCATGAACATGTGAACATGAGGAATGACTCCATGCTCCGTTGCAGCTGTCTAGCAGGGCCGCTGGGCAGAGTTGTTGGGGGCAGCAGGGAGGAGAGAGAGAACCCAAAGAGCATCAGCTCATCCCACCCACGATGTCTGGTGGTCTTTATATTCATGCATCTTGCTGACTCCTGTGGTCTTCTTTCCTTCTCTGTAGGGACCTGGTGACAGTCTAGCTTTCCTACTTCCAAACCAGGCGAGGCACCCCTCTCTGACCCTCAGAGTCTACATGTGTTGGAAGCAAAGAGGATCTTTAGTCTTTTCCTGTTCTAATATTTTGAGAAGGGAAAAGATACCAAAGGCTCTTCTTTGCTATTGAATTATCAAAAGGAATCTTTCCCAGAAAATGTTTTGTCTTAGAAGAAGCCAAGATTTTGCCTTTTTATTGTGCGGAATTGGTGTAAACACTCCTGCCCAATGTTTTGTCATTACTTACAAAATGAAGTAAATGATTTATAAGCAGGAGACCAAACTGCTCTTTGAAGACAGTCTGTGCACTCCGGAGCGAGCAAGCTCTTATCAGAGATGGTGGCCTGAGGAGCACCCTTCCAGGGTCCCATCTGTCCACAGCTGTGCATGTCAGGTCTGGCTCAGTCTGTGTTCACAACACTAGCCATGGTCCTAAGCAGTCAAGCTTTAGCCAGTATTTAGGGGTGTCTGGGCACTTGTGATTTATTTGTGTTAGAAATGATTACATTTAGGTCAAATAGGATTCGATATATCCTATATGCCTTATCTTGAACAGAATTCTTGAACTCTGAACTGGTTCTTCCACAAACAGATTTGTTCTTAACTGTTGCAAAATTTCTGAAAAGTTTCCAAGAACTTCTATTTTTATTTATTTATTTTTTTAAAGATTTTTGCCAACAGGGCACATGCACTTGCCAGAGAGAGATGGTGAGAGGGAAAGTGAAAAATTACCCTCCAGGGACCCTCCAGGCTGCAGTCTCTTCTCTGTTCTCCTCTCGGGGCTCTCCATGCTGCAGTCTCTTCTCTGTTCTCCTCTCGGGATTTGGGGCTTTTTTGGTTGTTGTTGTCCAAGTGTATTTTTCTCATTCATTTAATAAGGGGCCAGGATGTTTATCCTGACTCAGTGAAAGAAAATATTGTATTTTTAATAAAACATGTTGGTTAAAAAAATAATAGGGGTGGGCAACTTATTTATTTTCCTCAATAAATTGGCCCTCTAGTTAGAGGTGTTCTCTGGATCAAGTAGCCCTTACCTTGGAATAATTTATGTCATTTAGGTATTTGAAGAGTTTTCAGGAATGTATATTTTCTGAGGGGTAAAGGATGTAAACAGCTTCTGAGTAGCTTCAATGGTTCTGTACAGAAATACATTTATCACTGTAACATTGTGGAAGAGTTTTAATATAGTATTTAGTTTTTTATTGGGCTTTTAAAAATTAATTTTTAACATAGCTGCTCAGGGATCAAATCAGACTGGAAAATCCATTCTGACTCCATGTATTAATACAAAGAAACTGATTTATATTAAGCTGCAGGGGATAGTATACTTTAAACTTAAACTTTGTTAAGAAATGTTTCACAGTGACAGTGCAATTATGTAGTCTTTAGCTACTCTTTTTCAATTGATCAACTCTCTGATGGTGTGACACACACACACACACAACCCCTTTTCCAACCCGTAGATTCCATTTCTGAATGAATCACCAGCCCTCATGAGCAGCTTCATGTAAATAGATGCACTCCAAGCAGATTGCATGCCCCAGGGTTTGTCTTCTACTTCTAAATTAGTACAGAAAGTTGCAGGGGAAAGGTCAGTCCTGGGCTGGGGACTCCGGAGTTGCAGAGTCCTGGTGTGCGACTCACCCAGAGTAACACATTTCGCTCTATGAGAAGGACTGCCAACACTGGTCCTTAGAAAAACCCTTCATACTGTGTCTGTGCTTGTTAAGAGATGGCAGAATGGAGGGAAGGTTTTGCTCTGTGGGTTTAACTACACTTAATCTAGCTACCAAAAACTGCTTGGACCTGTGGCCATGCATCAAAGATACCATTCCTTGAGCAAATAAGGAAATGTTGCACCTTGTGGGAACATGAATTTCATTGTATTGTATTTGGTCAAAGTAGTGTAACTTGGGAAACAAACGAGGGGAAAACAAAATCAAGTTGGTTCAAGCTTAAATTGTATTTTGAGAGTCCGGTCTCATTTAGACAATTCTAGAAATAACCAGCTCTTGTATGTAACGCTCAGATTTGCACTTGACTATCAAATCCATTAAAAATGAAGTTTGTACAAGATACTGTGTGACTTCTTTCTTGGGGCTCCTTCCCCTTATTCACAGAAAGTCTTTTCAAAAATATTAAGTATTAGTCTTATTACCACGACTTTGGTAAGATGTTATTTTCTCAGTTCCTATGTATGCTGAGAACACAGGATTGTTGGTTCCTAACCCAAATCTAATGTAAGCTATGGCTTCTTGCCTCCAGAAAAAAATGTTCTGTTTGAACTTGGATGCAAAATTGGAAGGTACAGAGATGATCGCAGAAATGAATCACAGATCCATCTCCAGGACCTCACAATCTGATGAGGGTTGGGGAGGCTACCAGGTAAATCAGCAATGCCAGGTTTCTGCTGAAAAGAGAATGAATGAAACACTGGGCCAGGGTGCCCTCAAGTGGGAGTTCCTGTCCCCCAGAAGACAGGAAGCTCTAGGAAAGCCTTCAAAGGGAGCTGGCCTTGGAGATGGGTCGGGAGATATGCGGGGGTGGAGGGGATAAGAGTGCATTCTACAAAGTCAGAAAGTCTGACATACTTTGAGAAAAGGTGAAAATTGGGAGGTGTAAGCAGTCATCGAAGGGAATTAAGCAGAAAAAAACGTACACGGAGAAGGTAGGAATCCGGATCCGAGGCCTCTTCGTCGTCTATGCCGGAGGTCCCCAGCAGAGGGCGTTAGCACGCCCGCTGGGCCTTCTGTCTTTAAAGCGCGGCGCGCTAAGTGCTTCCCGGGCGAGGCGGGGCTTCCGGCGGCAAGCTAGATCGGGGGCGCCGTGGGCTTGTCCTTTGCATTCGCATCCGCATCGGTGCTCGCACGTGTCTGCTGTAACCTACAGGATGCTGCCTCTGCTGCGCTGCGTGCCCCGCGTGCTGGGCTCCGTGCGGCTGCGGTGCTTTGCACACCGAAGGTGAGCGAGATTCCCGCAAGGGGGCCGAGGCATGATAAGCAGGGCTCGGGAAATGAAAGCGTAGACCTCACGTGCCCGGAACCGACCCCGAGGTCCGGGACATTTCTCTGTCGATTGAGGAATAGCGGATTAAACTCATGTGTGATCACATTTCCTTCTGCCTCTTAAACCAACTGCCTCGTTTTGGGGGAGGGGGATATAATTAATTACTGGAAGACAACTTCATGTTTAGTCTCCAGAAAATGGACCTTTGGAAGCCCCAGGGTCTTGGTTGAAATTAGCATGGTTATGTCTCAAATATAATGCAAAAATTGTATTGCATTATAGCGAAAAATGGTAATGAGTCCACTGTTGGAAGTCACGTCTCTAGAATGGACCTCCGCTCTCGCTAGTAGTAGTCTATTTTTACCGATCAGAAAACAGGCCTAACGGTGCAGTTGGACTCAGGTCCATCAGGAAATCTGCCCCTAGGAGGCAGGGAAGGAGTACTGAAGGGTTGCATCAGCTGACCAGAGAGATTAGAGACAGCCGAAGTCCAGAACACTGGCTGCAAAAACCTGGGTCTGGGTGGTGGTTTTCAATTCATTGGATCTTCCTTTTCTGTATCATCCGGGCTTATTTTGTAGGAGACAAAGCTTTTGTTGAATTTCTGAATGATGAAATCAAGGAGGAGAAGAAAATCCAGAAGCATAAGTCCCTCCCCAAGATGTCTGGAGGTTGGGAGCTGGAAGTGAATGGGACAGAAGCTAAATTGGTACGGAAAGTTGCAGGGGAAAAGTAAGTACTGGTCTGGATACTGGGCATTCTATGGGACCAGATGGGAGACCCTGGGGAGACCTGTCCTGAGACATTTTCAGAGCAGCCTTGAGTTATAGTAGGTTCATTAAGACAAAGTCTCCCCATGTTGCCATCCTCCTGCCCCAGCTTAGCCTTCCAGCTGGGACTACAGCTGCCACTGGTAGCCACAGCTCTTTTTCAGACAGGCCAGCCTTGGGTTTACAGTCTTCCTGTTTCAGCCTCCCCATGTGGCTGAGATGGTAAGCATGCACCACCACTGTGCCTGGTCTTTAGGTTGGATGGGGAATCAAACTCTGGCCTCCATATTGTCCCAGCTTCCAGAGTGCGGCGTCCTAGCAGAAAGTTCAGATAGCTCATTCAGCAAACACAAGCTTACTGTGTGTTGTTCACTGTAAGGAGGCAGTAAAGAAGTAGCAAAGGAAAAAAAGTAGCTGGAAGTCTATTAGAACAACAGAGGTGGTCATTCAGTAAACCTTTCTTGTTGAGGAAGCCATGCCCTAAATTTAGGCATGCAAATTTAGAAATTCTGGTATCACTGAATCAGTTTGATCTGTGACTTATAGTCTCTGCTCTCTAATGTTTATGGTATGTGAAAATGCAAGATGTGTAACACATGTAACAAGACGGAGTTACAGTGTAGTAAAGGCTGCCATCAGGAAAAGAAGGGGGCTTTTGACCTTGTTCAGTTCCTCTCTCTCCTTAAACTGTTATACTGTTCTATATTATACAGGCATCTATGATTTTTATTTACTTATTTATTTATTTTTAGATTTTTGCCATAGGGCATATGGGCTCACCAGAGAAGAGAGAGACAGAGAGGGGGAAGGTGATAAATCATCTTCCAGGGGAATGACCATGCCACATTCTCTTCTGTATTCTTCTTTTGGGATTGTGGACATGCACACACATGTACCTAGCGTGAGTTTTAAGCCACTGGTTCCAGGACTGGATCCACAGTTGGCTACGTGGGAATCGGGCTGCCTTAGCTACCACGCCACCTGCTGGCCCACAGTTGTCTAATATTTATTACACACAAGCGCATAGCATCTTCCCACTTTATTCTTGATTTTTTTAATAATTGACTTCATGTTGTGAGGCCAATTTTGTATCCTGGTTTTTTTTGTTGTTGTTTTGTTTTTTAATAATAGCTTTCTTCAGATATAATTCATTTGCTGTAAGATCATGCTATTTCTCAAGTGTGCAGTTAGGTGGTTCTTGGTTTTTGCTGTGGTTTAGCACCTGAAGATTCATGTACTGGGAGCTTGGCCCCCAGCATAATGGTGTTGAGAGGAGGTAGGATGTAGTGGGTGGTATTTGGATCATGAGGCCACCACCCTTATGAATGTAAGGAGTGTACTCTGGCCAATTGGAGGCCATTATAAATAATGCTCTGGTGCACATCATTGCATTTCTGCACCCAGGAACCCAGCTGGTCACTACTGTTGCAGATTAGATTTGTGGCTGAACCTCAAATAACTATTGTTTCTGTGGTTCAGTGGCTTCATGGTAGGTTGCATTTAGGTGATTGCATTTAGTGATGCAACTCCATGAGGGAGTTGCCTGGCTTAGAGGTTCTAGTGTCAAATCTCATGTCACAAGAATTTTACCTAATTTGGGAACAAACATTTGTCAGGTGAGGATTCTGGCACTTGAAAATTGCCATTAGCTGGTGCTTCTGGCTTGCTTTGGGACTATGTAGTTCCCATAAGTATTTGGAAGGAGGAAGCTGTACTGCAGCAGATTTATCGCTAATGCAACCCTTCAGTGCTCCTTCTCTCCCTCCTACGGGCAGAGAAAAGCCTTTTTTTTTTTTTAAAGAAAATTTTAAATTTTTATTTATTATTTTTTAAAACAATTATTTATTCAATTTTATTTATTCATTCGTTTATTTATTGGAGAGGTTTTTTTTGTTTGTTTGTTTGGTTTTTTTTTGGCCATAGCACACATGCGCTCACTAGGAAGACAGAGACAGAAAGCAAGAAACAACTCCCCAACGGGTATGGCCTCGCTGCAGTACCTTCTCCATTCTCCTCTCTGAATCTTGGACACGCACGCACATGCACCCAGCATGAGTTTAAGTCACCGGGTCCAGGACTCAAACTGCAGTTGACTACATGGGCGTCCAGCGACATAGCCATTATGCCAACTGCTTCCTGCATTCACTTATTTTCATTTGACCAGAGAGAGAGATAGAAGTGGGAAAGCAAGCCAACAGATCCGGGACTTGAATTGTGGTCAGCCGTGTGGGAGTGTCCAACGCCTTAACCATCATGCCACCTGCTGGTCCCTATTACTATTTTTTAAAAATTATTTCCTTTATTTTATTTATTACTATTGTTATTTTTTATTTGACCATAGCTAGGCATGCAAATTTAGAAATTCTGGTATCACTGAATCAGTTTGATCTGTGACTTATAGTCTCTGCTCTCTAATGTTTATGGTATGTGAAAATGCAAGATGTGTAACACATGTAACAAGACGGAGTTACAGTGTAGTAAAGGCTGCCATCAGGAAAAGAAGGGGGCTTTTGACCTTGTTCAGTTCCTCTCTCTCCTTAAACTGTTATACTGTTCTATATTATACAGGCATCTATGATTTTTATTTACTTATTTATTTATTTTTAGATTTTTGCCATAGGGCATATGGGCTCACCAGAGAAGAGAGAGACAGAGAGGGGGAAGGTGATAAATCATCTTCCAGGGGAATGACCATGCCACATTCTCTTCTGTATTCTTCTTTTGGGATTGTGGACATGCACACACATGTACCTAGCGTGAGTTTTAAGCCACTGGTTCCAGGACTGGATCCACAGTTGGCTACGTGGGAATCGGGCTGCCTTAGCTACCACGCCACCTGCTGGCCCACAGTTGTCTAATATTTATTACACACAAGCGCATAGCATCTTCCCACTTTATTCTTGATTTTTTTAATAATTGACTTCATGTTGTGAGGCCAATTTTGTATCCTGGTTTTTTTTGTTGTTGTTTTGTTTTTTAATAATAGCTTTCTTCAGATATAATTCATTTGCTGTAAGATCATGCTATTTCTCAAGTGTGCAGTTAGGTGGTTCTTGGTTTTTGCTGTGGTTTAGCACCTGAAGATTCATGTACTGGGAGCTTGGCCCCCAGCATAATGGTGTTGAGAGGAGGTAGGATGTAGTGGGTGGTATTTGGATCATGAGGCCACCACCCTTATGAATGTAAGGAGTGTACTCTGGCCAATTGGAGGCCATTATAAATAATGCTCTGGTGCACATCATTGCATTTCTGCACCCAGGAACCCAGCTGGTCACTACTGTTGCAGATTAGATTTGTGGCTGAACCTCAAATAACTATTGTTTCTGTGGTTCAGTGGCTTCATGGTAGGTTGCATTTAGGTGATTGCATTTAGTGATGCAACTCCATGAGGGAGTTGCCTGGCTTAGAGGTTCTAGTGTCAAATCTCATGTCACAAGAATTTTACCTAATTTGGGAACAAACATTTGTCAGGTGAGGATTCTGGCACTTGAAAATTGCCATTAGCTGGTGCTTCTGGCTTGCTTTGGGACTATGTAGTTCCCATAAGTATTTGGAAGGAGGAAGCTGTACTGCAGCAGATTTATCGCTAATGCAACCCTTCAGTGCTCCTTCTCTCCCTCCTACGGGCAGAGAAAAGCCTTTTTTTTTTTTTAAAGAAAATTTTAAATTTTTATTTATTATTTTTTAAAACAATTATTTATTCAATTTTATTTATTCATTCGTTTATTTATTGGAGAGGTTTTTTTTGTTTGTTTGTTTGGTTTTTTTTTGGCCATAGCACACATGCGCTCACTAGGAAGACAGAGACAGAAAGCAAGAAACAACTCCCCAACGGGTATGGCCTCGCTGCAGTACCTTCTCCATTCTCCTCTCTGAATCTTGGACACGCACGCACATGCACCCAGCATGAGTTTAAGTCACCGGGTCCAGGACTCAAACTGCAGTTGACTACATGGGCGTCCAGCGACATAGCCATTATGCCAACTGCTTCCTGCATTCACTTATTTTCATTTGACCAGAGAGAGAGATAGAAGTGGGAAAGCAAGCCAACAGATCCGGGACTTGAATTGTGGTCAGCCGTGTGGGAGTGTCCAACGCCTTAACCATCATGCCACCTGCTGGTCCCTATTACTATTTTTTAAAAATTATTTCCTTTATTTTATTTATTACTATTGTTATTTTTTATTTGACCATAGCGCAAGACACAGTGAGAGAAAGTGAGAAAGCAAGTTACCACACCCGGGATTCAAACCGCAGTCAGCCATGTGGGAGTCCAGTACCTTTAACCACCACACCACCTGCCAGCCCCATTATTATTATTGATGATTATTATTATTAAATTTGACCAGAAAAACGAGGGAAAGGGAAAGTGAGAAAGCAAGCCACCAGGTCTGGGACTTGAACCACGGCTGGCCCTGGAGAAAAGCTTTTAAAGGGGCTTATATTCTATCCCACCAGCTTCTCAGCTGCTCCCTTCCATTTGAGGATTTCAGGAAAGGAAAAGGGTGCCCCCATCACACATGGCAGTGAGAGGCTGGCCTGATGGAAGAAGCCCACAGGTGACAGTTTGGCTTTCAGAAGCTGGGACATAGTGGGTACATTCCACACCTGCCGGCTGTCTCAGAGTTAGAGGTAGGCATGCTGCCTTTCTATAAGTTCTGCAAATAATTCAGACATATAGTCAGCCAAGGACTGACATTTCAATGAGCCCTTGTAAGTGGGGCAGGCCTTCACATTAAATCTGTTAAGCTGGTCAGTTAAAACTATTCCTGATCTTTGTGTGTTCTTTTGCCTTTCTAGGATCACTGTCACTTTCAACATTAACAATAGCATCCCACCAACATTTGATGCTGAGGAGGAGCCCTCACAAGGGCAGAAAGTTCAAGAACAGGAGGTAAGCTAACACTATAACCATCCTTTACCTCAGTTCTGACCAGCTGCCCCTGGGCCTTAAGGACAGACTGTTTCTTATTTAATGCTGGAAGGAGAGAGGACACCCATCCTTGAGATCTTTAGAGGAGCAGAAGCAATGGCTCTGATCAGCCGCCGCTCTGGGCAGTGGCCTTTTAGTTCCAGGGGCTGAATGTATTACCATCTGCAGGCTCAGACTTTAGAGCTTGGGCCTGTTCTCTTAATGGAGAAGAACGGCAGCATTACCATCTGCAGGCTCAGACTTTAGAGCTTGGGCCTGTTCTCTTAATGGAGAAGAACGGCAGCATTACCATCTGCAGGCTCAGACTTTAGAGCTTGGGCCTGTTCTCTTAATGGAGAAGAACGGCAGCATTACCATCTGCAGGCTCAGACTTTAGAGCTTGGGCCTGTTCTCTTAATGGAGAAGAACGGCAGCTGCACCAACCTTTCCCGTGATTAGAGGTGTTTGCTATCAGAGAGTTTCGGTTGGAGTGTTCCCAGGGGAATGTTTCCAGCATGCCACAGGCTGGAGATAAGTAACAGCCACTTAACAAAGATAGGAAAGCCAGGGGCATGAGATTTCACCAGTTGGCCAGATGAAGTCTTTATGCTGCTGGCCCTCTTGGTTGGACCTGGGTAGTGTCCAGTCTTCACACATCATAGGAAGTGGTCTGCCTGGCCTAGAATCAAGCCAGCATGAGGGTCACAGCATCCCTCTGCCTTCTGAGCAGGCATTGGTGCTTTTCCATTGTGGACAGCACAGCTCTTAGGTATGCTTCTGTCTCGGGCATCCCAACGAGCATCTCCCTGACAGTGGACTCAGTCTGCTCCCAGGGCTCACCATCAGGGAAAGCTGCTGCCCTTCAGTTGCTTAGCCATGTCTTCCTGCTGTTGATCCTGGTCTGTAATAAAGGACGACTCCCCAGTCAAGCTGTTCAGAGATCCTGGAGCGTTAGGCCAGCTTGGCAGTGTATGGGTGGAGAAACAGGAAAGTTAAGAACTGATGAAAATTTTAGTCAACTAGCACATAGATGGGGCTGGAATTCAGATTTCTTAATTCTCAACCAGTGTGTATTTTTTACTAAAGATTTGTGTTTGCTGTTTTTGTTTAAGAATTATTTTCTTTCTTTTTTTTTTTTTTTTTTGAGAGGTTTTTTCTATAGGGCACATGCGCT